ATAAATAATGAAAATATTATGCTGATGACATTGCTAGAAGATGTGACGGTTTAAAAGTCAGTTGCAGGTTGCTACAGGTAGTTGAGACGCATAAGCAGCATATGTGCATTACACATTTTGTTTTTGTTTTTTTTTTTTGTTAGGCTTAATATTGTTTCATCTTCATTTAGCTAACAATGTGATCCCTTCCAATTGCATTTCAATTAGTAAATTCTAAAATTTTACGCTCATTACAGTTTATATATGTGTATTATATTAAATATTATTAAAAATATGTACATTTGATTGTTTTATATATAATTAACAAACCATCACCGAAAACAAAAAATAGGACCCATTAAAGCATATTCAACATTGTCACAAAACTACTGCGCTTTCCCCTTCAAACGTTATATCACAGCACATTAATCATTCACTTGTGCGACAACACGCATTCAGTAATTTTAAAGGCTGTATCACATGCCGAGGACCCGGATAGATCCTTGCAATCGTCTATGGCGGCAGCGAGCTTATCATCTGGCATCTTAGATTTAGCCACATCGGGTTTGAAATTGCCCGCCTCATCTATAATGCCCTGTTTGAGCATAACACAGTGGCTGCTGCATTTCAAATTCTCCGATGGTGAAGCCGCTTTGCCTTCCATAAATTCGTGGAACTCTTTTGGCGTTACATTGTGGTCCTTAGTGCATTCATCGATGTATTTGCGCATCTCTGGATCTGGTGGTGGATGACACTGGTGGAAAGGTAATTTTTTATAAATAAATAACTTTTTAAAGCATTTCATGTAAAAATTCACTCATTTTATTCCATTTTTTAAATTTTAATTAACTTAATTTATTTTGTAAAATGTGTGGTTTTAATTTATATTAATTATATGTATAATTAATTTTTTTTTTATTTTTTTTGTGGTTTTAATTTATATTAATTATATGTATAATTAATTTTTTGATCTTTTTCAGTTAATTTTATTTATTTTTTGAATTTAATTTAAATTTATTTATTCTTGTTTAGGGCTATGTTGCAGTGGCTACCGAAATGGCGAGTCAAATTCACCTAAGCCTGATTAAGAACCGTTGTGATAACACAAAATTTATACCATCAGGTTTATATGAATTTGGCTAATGCTTCTTTTCTGTCTTAAATTGCTTTATGTCGTTTGATTTTTATTTTGTTTTATTTATATTATTTAAATTATTTACTGATTTTTTTTTTCAATTTTATTTAATTTGGTTTTCATTTAATACTTTTTATTTCATTTTTTCTATTATTTTTTTTAATTGGGTTTGTTATATTATATTTAATTTAATTTTATATTTTTATAATTTGTCAGATATTAGCTTACTTAGATTTTACTTCATTTTATTTATTTCATTTCGCTTTATTATATTTTATTTTGTTAGCTTTTAATATATTTATTATTCAATAATTTATTTATTTTTTTATTTTTAATCATTATTTTTTTGTCATATTTAATTATACTTTGAATTTTTGCAATTTATTCTGTGCTATTTTA